CATGAAGGCTAACAGGCAAAGCTGAGGTTCTTCTTCCATAAAGCAGCTCTGTTGTCCTCCATCCATATTTTCAGTTACAGGCCGAGTCATTTCTACCTTCTCCTGTCAACACTCTGGTTTCATTTAAAAGTCGATCATCAGATATTGTCCAAGATTAACCTTCAGGGTGGATATAGCTCGCTCATACCGAGGACCTATCCACGTCATCATTTACCCAGAATGCTTTGCTTGTAAATAAAATGGCTCCGTCCGTGTTAAAATATATTTTTTAAAAATTACTAAACTGAACAGGCTAAAGTTTTTTTACAGTCTTTATTTTACAGTTAAAATAAATGTTTATCAAATAGTCTAATGTTACAACTAATCAGAGATCCCTTTAAAATCCTCCTTGGGAAAGAGGAATGTGCACGGAGTCTGAGTTATCTGAATGGGAGGTGGAGCCATTTGGAAAAACTAAACTCCTGCTGAGTTACTGAAGTGTTGTGTTTCTGTACAGGTGCAGATCTCACAGGTAGACTATGGTTAACATGTGCAGACTAGTATATTTGTAGAACAGAAGACACACACAGCTCTTCTGGTGTTTGTTGTAAATGTGTGTGTTCTGACTCCAGCATGATGATGTCATGGTTACAGCTGGTGATTGGTCAGCAGTAAACCTTGTGTATAACTTGTCTCCAGGCTCTGGCTGATGAGTTTCTGGACGGCTCTCTGCCGTTAGACTCCTTCCTGGAGCGCTTCCTGCTCCTGCGCTCGCTGGCTCACAAAAGACGCGTGCAGATGGAGAAACTCCAGGAGATCTTTCGTCAGAGGAGCGAAGGCAGTGCCAGCACCATGACATCATCAGCAGGCCCCGCCCTGAACCCTGCCGTCACACCGTCACCATGGAGCCAACAAACAAGCACAGCAACGACAACAACCCAGCAGCAGCTGAACTGCAAACCTCAGCCGGCCCCCACATCTGCAGGGGGCTCCTCTGGGCTGCCCTATAACCAGTACCCTGTCTCCCCTCCCAACCCTCCTCCTGCAGTGGCAGCAGTAGGCTCCGCCCCCAACAATCCCCCGTCACAGTTCTACCCAGGCGCCGGCTCGTCRTTCCCCCCTGGGCCCAGGCCTGCTTTCATGCCTCCTGCTGCAGTCAGCTGTCCTTACCCCGCCCAGCCCTCCTTCCCCACCCCCCACCCTGGCTCTGCCTTTGGCCAGTACACCCCCAGTAACCCCAGCAGTGGTCCTGCACCATACCCAGCCTCTTACTGTTACGGAGGCTACAGCTACCCAGCTGGACCCCCCTACTCCAGCTCTCAGTCCCCATCAGGGAGGCCCATGTACAGACCGGGGTAYGGAGTGTCCCAGCCGTACTCCTGAAGCTGAGCTGCTGCTGCTCTTCACCTGCTCACAATTCTTCCTGTTTAGTTTCACAGACCCCGCCCACTCCATCACTGTCCCTTCAGCTTCACCTGCTCCTCCCCTCAACCTGCTCCTCCTCTCAACCTGCTCCTCCTCTCACTCCATAGACCAGGCATGGTCAGTCCTGGTCCTGGAGGGCCACAGCCCTGCATGTTTTACCTGTTTCTCTGCTCCAACACACCTGATTTGAATGAATAGATGATTATCAGGCTTCTGATGTACGGAGGACCAACACTGACATAATTAGAAATAAAAGCAGAATTATATGAACCACTAAATAAA